AAGCTCAGGCGCAGGGGTGTGGTTCGGCTGTTGGGTAGATCAGTGTTCAAGATGTATGATTTGTAAAAGTTCATTTTTAAATTGGAGATGGCTTGGAAGATGTTCGGAAAGGAGATCTCCGGGTGGGAGACGAAAAAGAGTAGGTCGTCCGCGTAGGCGGCCACCTTATGGTATGTGTCCCCTGTCTGTATGCCAGTGATGTCACAGTGGTGTCTGACGGCTGTCAGGAAGGGTTCGAGGGCAAGGACAAAGAGCAGCCCTGGCGGTTGCCATTACAGATAGAGAACTCTTATGTCAGCGCCCCGCTAACTATTACATGGGCAGTGGGTCTATCGTACATGGCCTCCACCCACTGTTGCATGTGGGGCCCGAGACCAACATGAGCAAGGGTCTGGAATAGGTAATCCCATCCCACCCTATCGAAGGCCTTCTCTGCATACGTGGACAGCAGAAGAAGGTCTCCAGTGTCTCCTGGTGTTATCTAGCGCCTCACGACCCGCCACGAACCCGACCTGGTCCGGGTGGACCAACGAGGGGATGTGCTGCTGTAGGCGCATAGCCAGGATAGGTCCCTCAGGTTTTAACCCTGTAGATGCAAACCTAGCAGTTTCAGAGAAACTGCTGTGTTTACATTGCAGGGTTAAGCCAGCCTCAAGTGGCTGTCTTCTGGACAGCCACTAGAGGCGCATCTGCGACTCCATCACGCAGAGCGTCCATAGGAAAGCATTGAGAAATGCTTTCCTATTGACAGCTTGAATGCACGCACGGCACTTTCTGCGCATGGGCATTCGGCTCCACTGACGTCGGCGAGGGAGGAGAGGACACCAGCGCCGAGGGAGCCCGGCGCTGGAATAAGGTAAGCTGCTGAAGGGGTTTTAACCTCTACAGTGCCACGGGAGGTGGACCCTGAGGGTGGGGGTCCCCTCAGGGCACTATAGTGTCAGGAAAACCACTTTGTTTTCCTGACACACTAGTGATCCTTTAATGCTTTGGCAAAATGGGAAAAATTATTAAATATTCAAATTACAAATATAGAATGGTATACATCATTAGAGGGACACTCCAGGCACCAAGACCACTTCTGCCCATTGAAGTGGTCTGGGTGCCAACTCCCACTACTCTTAACCCTTCAAGTGTAATTATCGCAGTTTTTATAAACTGCAATAATTACCTTGCAGGGTTAACGCCACGGGCCCCTTTCTCGCCGGGCTCTACTAGACAGCCACTAGAGGGCACTTCCGTGTCCTTAGCACAGGAAACCTGTGCTAGAGCGTCGCTGGACATCCTCACGCTCTGTGAGGACCTCCAGCATCTCTCATTTCCCTATAGGAAAGCATTGAAAAGCATTTTTAATGCTTTCCTATGGGGAGCTCTAATGCGCATGTGCGGTAGGTATCCCTGGCCGGTGGGCCCACCGGCCGACGCAATCACAGGGAGGAGCGGCGGCGGAGGAAGAAGCAGCGACGTGGGACATCACGTTTTCACCCCTTCAGCAACAGGGGGGTGGGAGGGAGAAGGGACCTGCAGTGCCAGGAAAACAGATTGTTTTCATGGCACTGGAGTTTCCCTTTAATAGAGACAAAGCTATTCATTGTATAAATTTGCAGGAGACTCAATATAAACTTATTAACAACTCAAAGTAAACATTCTAGCTACCCTCAAGGGTAGCTAGAATGTTTACTTTGACAAATGATTTCTGTTGGAGGTGTGAAAAGAGTAGAGGTTCATATATACATACCTGGGGAGCTCTACTGAAATAATGGTGCAATGGAAAAATATATTTGTTCTTTTATATAAAATCATAGAACGTAGGTTTAGGCCGGAGGTAGCTTTAGAACATTTGAGATGGCCAAATGTAAAAAAAATTAAAAAAAAAAAAAGTAATTATACATTGTTTTGTAGCTTTTAAAATAGCCAGAAATTGGAAAACTAAAATCGTTCCAGTTTGGAAAAAGATAATAAATCAATTACTATTTTAAATATGAAAGGAGCTGGCAATGAAAGAAAATTAAAATATTAATAAACAAGACAATGTAGAGATGAATGATCTGATCAAGAAAATAACTTTACTGGAGTCCAATGTACAAGAAATTGATATTGTTTAGATAGATTAAAGGATAATAGCCATTGGAACCCGCTGATCCACTGTGTGACACTCTCAATGCCATATTGTGTTGGATAAATGTCTGTGTGTGTGTGTGTGTATATATATATATATATATATATATATATATATATATATATATATATATATATATATATATATATAAAATATGTGTGTGTGTGAGTTATTGAAATGTGTTTATTATATAGTCACAATATAATTCAAATGAACTGAATTGTATGTTATATGTATATGTTATATAAATAAAATAAAGTATTACTAAGGAGTATCTAGTGGTGTTACGGGTAAGAGATAATACATTTAGAATCGTTGTAGTCTGATGCAATACACTAAAAGTAAAACTTAAGTTTTAATTGTATGACTATTAAAAATATATAAAAAATATTTTATTTTGGTTATATAATGAAGTAGAGCTGCAGTGTTCTGTGTCATTCTTGACTGCAGCATCATTATTGTGGTGTTTGATTGGGGAAAGACAGGTCACTCAATTTTCAATCCAGGAATGGAATACTGTGTTGTACTGGCTATAGGCGGCTACCCTGACGTACAGCTTATTTTCACACACATTGATCTTTATTTCATTATTATGCATTCAAGCACACACTGACACTCCACATAAATATACCCTTGCATTACATCATTCACTGAAACTTTACCCAGTGTGTAAACTGTGAATCAAACATTTTGTTTCCATGCAGTTTTTATGGTGAGCAAATTTTAGGTATGACTAGTTATTTAGGAGCCGGAAAAAAAAACAGCTATCCAAGCCAGCATCTATATTAAAAGTTCAATTATGGGATATTTTAAAGGACCACTATAGTGCCCTCAGGGCCCCCCTCCCGCTGGGCTCTAGGGTTGAGGAAGGGGTTAAAATCTTACCTTTTTCCAGCGCCGGGCCCCCTTGGCGCTGGGGAATCTCCTCCTTCTGCCATCATCGGCTGAATGCACATGCGCGGCAAGAGCCGCGCGCTTTCGTCTTCTTACTGTAAAAATCACAGTGGGAAGCGCCTCTAGCGGCTGTCAATGAGACGGCCACTAGAGGCTGGATTAACCCATTTGTAAACATAGCAGTTTCTCTGAAACTGCTCTGTTTACAGCAGAAAGGGTTAATCCTAGAGGGACCTGGCACCCAGACCACTTCATTAAGCTTCATTAAGCTGAAGTGGTCTGGGTGCCTATAGTGGTCCTTTAACTAGAAGTAGTATCTAAAATGTATATGAACTATTTTTTTCTATTAGACACTTGTCTATTTAAAGTATAAAGATTGTAAGCTATTTACTATTGGAGTACAACTGGGAACATATTCCATACATGTTTTGATGCTTCATAGTTAATGATTTTATTTTCCTGTTACTTTGGTAGACTTCTCATTTTGTTTGTTTTCTGTAGGAACACAAATTTGGCAATAAAATAATTTTACAGACTGAAGAGCTCTCAGAAGGGCCTGATGAGGTACGCAGTTGCAGCTTAAAAATATATGCAGAAGAAGAAGGTTATGAAGCAGATAGCGAAAGTAACCCAGAAGATGCTTCTGGAGGAGAAGGTACATTTCAATCTAAAGTTTATTAATGGTCAGATGCAAGGCCCTGTAGTAAAATAATAAAAAACAAATATATGACTAAAGAAAAGTTATGTTGCAATTAATATATATTAACTGTATTTTTTTTGACCATCTTTATTTTAAAGTAGTAATAAAGACATTCAACAAGAGTATTCCGTGCAAACCATTAGACTGTAAAATTCTGTATATAAACAATACACCTGAACAGTATATACCAGATGGCATAATGTTTTCCCCAAATGTCATGTGAGTCCAGATTTAAAAAAAAGTGTGTGTGTGTGTGTGAGAGAGAGAGGGGTGCTGTGTGTGTGTGTGTGTGTTTGAGAGAGAGAGAGAGGGGTGCTGTGTGTGTGTGTGTGAGAGAGAGAGAGGGGTGCTGTGTGTGTGAGAGAGAGAGAGGGGTGCTGTGTGTGAGAGAGAGAGAGAGAGAGAGAGAGGGGTGCTGTGAGGAGAGAGAGAGGGAGAGGGGTGCTGTGTGTGAGAGAGAGAGGGAGAGAGGGGGCGCTGTGTGTGAGAGAGAGAGAGGGGTGCTGTGTGTGTGAGAGAGAGAGAGAGGGTGCTGTGTGTGAGAGAGAGAGAGAGGGTGCTGTGTGTGAGAGAGAGAGAGAGAGGGGTGCTGTGTGTGAGAGAGAGAGAGAGGGGTGCTGTGTGTGAGAGAGAGAGAGAGAGGGTGCTGTGTGTGAGAGAGAGAGAGGGTGCCGTGTGTGTGAGGAGAGAGGAGAGGGTGCTGTGTGTGTGAGAGAGGAGGGGGGTGTGCCAGGTGAGAGAGAGGGGGGTGCTGTGTGTGAGAGAGAGAGGGGTGCTGTGTGTGAGAGAGAGGGGGGTGCTGTGTGTGAGAGAGGGGGGGTGTGCTGTGTGTGGAGAGAGGGGGTGCTGTGTGCGTGAGAGAGAGGGGGGGTGCTGTGTGTGTGAGAGAGAGGGGTGCTGTGTGTGTGAGAGAGAGGGGGGTGCTGTGTGTGTGTGAGAGAGAGGGTGCTGTGTGTGTGAGAGAGAGGGGGGGTGCTGTGTGTGTAGAGAGAGAGGGTGCTGTGTGTGAGAGAGAGAGAGGGGTGCTGTGTGGAGAGAGAGAGAGGGGGTGCTGTGTGTGTGTGAGAGAGAGAGAGGTGCTGTGTGTGTGTGTGAGAGAGAGAGAGGTGCTGTGTGTGTGTGTGAGAGAGAGAGAGGTGCTGTGTGTGTGTGAGAGAGAGAGGGGTGCTGTGTGTGTGAGAGAGAGAGGGGGGCAGTGTTTGTGTGTATTTGTGAGGGGTGCTCTATCTCTGTTAGGGGTGCTGTTTTTATGTGCATGAGGGGGAGCTGTGTGTGTGTGAGGGGGCACTCTGTCTGTGTGAGGTGTTCTGTGCTTGTGTGTGTGTGAGGGGTGCGACTTCTACCCATAATGGGGTCAGTTTGGGACATTGCCACCAGAGGTGTATATATGTTCCACTGTGTCCGCATTGCTTCTGGCAGAGGTCCGAGTCTAACCTACCCATTTTATATAGACATGTGGGTGTCGGGTAACATCTGAGCATTGTCTTATAGCCCTCTCTTTATGGTTCACACAAATGGATATGGAGGCCGAGGTCTCCCATATGTCTTGCCAATTGGATGGCTCTTCTGGTCTCCCAGTTCCCTCTCCCAGGCCAACACATAGGTAAGTGCCCCTACGAGCTGATTAATAATTAGGAGTGTGTAGTTATCTGGGATCTGACCTTTGCGGACTGGACTATGGATGCAGGCTCGGTCAAAGGTTAAGAGTTTGGTGGTGGCTGCTATTGTGTTTTCTGGGAGTTCTAGAAAGCTTTTTTTTTGTAGGTATCTGAAAAGGTGTTAAATGCTATGTCATGTTAAGTCATTGTATGGCAGTTATGGTGAACCTTTTTGAGCCAGAGTGCCCAAACCGCAATGCATGCCAACTTTTTTTCCCTCAAAGTGCCAACGTGGCAATTAAACCTGAATATTGAGGTTTAAGTTTAGAAAAAAAACTCCTCGTACAGTTGTCCGAACTAATTAACAACTTTTGTTTTAAAAGAACACAATAGAGAGTTCAATGATACAAATTTTAAATAATGATATAAATAGATAAAATGAAGCTTATATTTATTAGTATCTCTAACAAATGCAATACATACACACAGACTGCTAAACACATTCACACACCGACTTCTTAATACATACACACACCGCCGCTGAATACTCAGTCCACTGAATGCTCCCTCTGCTGAATACATACACTGCTGAGTACACACACACACACACGCAGACTGTCGAGTACACACACACACACGCAGACTGTCGAGTACACACACACACGCAGACTGTCGAGTACACACACACACACGCAGACTGTCGAGTACACACACACACGCAGACTGTCGAGTACACACACACACAC